CACATTCCAGCTTCAAGGTAAGTCTTCTTGACTTTAGACCCTTCATTTCAAGCATCATTGATGATTCATCTTCAAAGATAATATGTAATAACCATTGCATTTGAAGCTAACCTTTTCGTTTATCTCCATTTCTTGTCAATCATATGTTAAGAACTAACCTGTATAGACTATAAAAATAATGTTGGAGTAAGAAATTACAGCATGGTTCGACACAAAGCCTTAGGCTTCGACACACACTGCTTTATAGGCCCAAACAGAAGAAAAAAGGGTGTGTGAATCGAAGGGTACATGCTTCGAACATACTGCATGAATCGAAAGATTTTTTTTTCTCTATGAATCAAAGGGTTCATGTTTCAAACCATACTGCATGAATTGAAAGATTGGTTTTTTCTCTCTCTCTTACGCTATTCTTGTTTTTTTTATATGTTTTCTATATATTTTCCTTCATTGTTATTCAATATGATTGTAATAATTAGGACTTTTATTACTTTTCACCCCCTATTTTTAAATTTGTATACCCCATCCCCAAATTATGTAATAGCGTAGGACATTTATTTTCTGCAATTTACCGCTTTTTATATAAAATGCTAGTAATTAGGGTGTGTATGGTAAGATTTAAAATCAACAAGTAGACAACCCTAATTTTAAAGACAAAAATGCATGCAATCAAACATACTATTCACACACGTGCACCTCTAGGGTAACCTTGCTTGTTGCCTCGGAAAATAGTCATGTCCCTCGAATATGGGCGTTTTAGCAAAGACCCTCGATAAAAAAGATGGTAGTCCCTCGATGTTGCCTCCGGTAAACGATCTCGTCTCTTACGAAAATTGCTAAAATGTCTCATAAGTTACCTTTTATGACTATACGATGATCCACACCCGTTCCTTCACATCCAATGTTGGGGCTTCTTACCAATCAATGGTAAGATAGCAACATCTAAAGGAGGAGGAAAAGAACAAAGACCTTTTGAGTAGGTAGGACACTCGTAGTTGCTTGCTTACAAACTAAAATCATTTCCACACTTATACTTTCAAAATATTTTCAAAAACAAACATCTCTTTGAACTATTTTCAAAACCAACACTTTATATGCATTCTTATAGAGACGAGAATCATTACAAAGTTTGCCTAAACAAAGGCGTTTTCATAATACTTTCAAAACCCACCACAAAACACATTTCAAAAAAAAAATTCAAAAGTGATCTAGCAAGCAACTAAGAGCCCGTAGATAACTATGGATGAAAAGGGTGCTAACACCTTCCCTTTTCATAACCTACCCCCTGAACTCAAGAAAATATCTCAAAGGTCTTTCTTGTTCTTTTCACTCTTTCCTTTATTAGATAAAAGAAAAGTCGGTGGCGACTCTTGTTATCTGCAACAATTGCGATCAAACGCAAAACATCCAAGTCAGTTCTTCCACTGTATTACAGAACTTGCGACTCTGCTGGGGACTAAAGTTAAAAGTGGGGTTACCTTAGAGCTAGATCACCTTTATAATGCTTTCTTTGTTTTACTTGCTTACTTTACACTTTTGGGTCCTTGTTTGGGTTTTGTTTTGATCCTTCACCCGGATCTGGGGCACCTTTTAGGTAAGTAGAAATAGATTGTGGAAATTGTACGGTGTAGACCGATATGGTTAAAGTAATGGCTACGTTAGTGTGATGCATTTGTTGGTACCGGTATTCCTTGTGTTGAATCGAGGAGAATACGGAGCCGTTAAGAGGTATCATGAAGCACTAACTGACCATAGAATCTTAATTGAACAACTTAGCCATTAGGAAGTAGTGAGATAGCTGACTTTAGTGTAAAGCTGAAGATTGGTTGATACTCGATACTACACTCATTGAGATCAAACTTTTGGTATATTTCGGTCGTAAGAAAAGATTGATTGTGCTGAGACAATGCCCAATGAAGAAAGATCAATGATATTGAGATCCCCTAGAACCCGATTACTTTCTAGGACAGATTGAGTCAACTAAACTTCAAGAGGGTACTTACCTATTGAAACCCATGCAAGCATAAACCTAAAGTTTTTTTGTGTGCTTTTTTTGTGATTATTATTCATGTCATCATAACATCATAAGCATTCTCACTAACCATTTCAAGGATCTCAAGAGCCTATGATACTGGGACATGATGAATCAGACGTCCATCAAGGGACAAGAAGATTTATCTCCCTCTAATCAAACGTCGTCAAAGACCAAAGCATGATAACTTTATTTGGAATCTTAGATGAAGGAGAACTTTATTTGTTAGTGATCAGGAGATGATCAATTATATTTTCGTTATTATTCATGATGTGTTTCCCTCTTAGGATCTCAATCACAGGTATTTAAAACATGTCAAAATTGTCTCGATTTACTTTACCCTTATAAAGTAATTGTTTTCTCTTAACAGTTCCTGCAAGATAAGATTTTTACTAGATTAAATTTTTTGAAGAGAAAGGTTATAATTGATTATGAGAGTGTAGGTGCCCTATGTATCGAGGTTGGTTGAGCCAGTTTCTTATCTCTTTGTAACTTGTGAGTTGGCGGTCTCCTTGTAGTAGAGGATTTTTCTTTGCGTGGTGTTTAGTATTAGCTAAAGATCTTCTTATTTTTTGAAGTTTTTTATCTCTCTGAATAATAAGGTAATTAGAATTAGAGGTGGCCTCATAATTTAGAACTACGTAGTTTTGAAAATCTCATAATGTTATTTCTATATGTGTACTTTGGTGGAAGAGTTAGAAGATATGAACATTGTCTTTTAAAAATGGTTGCTATGGTCAATAACTAACTCTTGTGCTTTCTTCCGTTGGTTTAGTAACGCTGTCTGTCTGAAATAATATTAGTAAAAATGTCTTCTTCGTAAAATCCTTTAGCATTGTGTTGTTGGTGCTTTTTGAAACTTTCAATTTTTTGTTTATGGTAGTTTGAGCGACTGAGATCTAACCTTTTTTTCTTCTTCACTGATGTTATCTTTCATTGCTTCTTTGGATATTCTAGCATGTTTTGGATGTTTTGCCTTTTTGTTGTTGATTTTGTAAGAATTGTTTAATTTTTTTATTGATGTATTAGAGTACTCTCTCACTATTTGTTTTGGTACTTTTTGTACCTTAACTTCATCGCTATTTATAGTTTGGACATTTTTACCATCTATCTTCATTCTATTGATACATATTATTTGCCTTTAGAAAAACAAAAACAAACAAAAATACAATCCTGGTCTGATGCATAATTTCAATAGAAAAGGAAAAGATTCAATAAATAAATATTATTTTGCTAATAGTGCTTTTCTTATATTGAAATCATCTTGTAATTGAATAAGAACTGCACTTCAAATGAGGATGTGAGGGTTTTACAGTCTACACCATGGAACTACAACGTATGATGTATCCTGTGTAACATTGATAAAGATTAATATTTATAGGGTAAGATTGTACCTAAAGTTAAAAACTTTTAGATTGAACAAACTATCGAATGGTCTCTCCTAGACAAATTTATGTTGGGCACCCAAAGAGAGATGATGCCGTCAAAATTCATGAGCTGTAAGGGCTTTGCTAACTTATATGACGTAGTGTGTTGTTTGATCACGTGTGTGGTCTTACATGTAATCCTTCGTGAATTGAGAAATGTGGTCTCTAATCTTATGTAAAACATGCATCTAACCTAACTACTAATGAATTATTCTAAGTAAAATTTCTAAGCTATTATTTATCCCAAAAAGTGTGAAATATTTTAAATGATTTGAGGAAGACACTGGATAGATAGATTCATAAGATATCATTTGAATCTGTGATGGATAGCATGTGTACTACAATGGTGATTTTGTATGGAATGGAACATGAAGTTAGCAGTACTTCAACGAGTGAATGAAATATGCCAATGAATATGATGGTATCTAAGAAGGCTTAAAATTGGCAGTATTGACAATAAGTCATTGATTGGTAATCTATCTAGATCATGTATCCTACCAAAGCTACCTCAAAATGGATCAAAATCCATAATCAAACACTACCGCATACACATTTCACCAGAACACAAAAACTTAACATGAACTTCAACTTTGATGGCAGATCAAATAGCATAGAAAAGGACATTCATAACAAGGTAAATTATCTCTAAACCATTTATTTAATTAAAAGTAAACAGTACTGGTAACATGCAGTAACATCTGCAAATGTAACCAACGGAAACACCAACTGGACCCACCAAAACATATGGCAGTTAAAAGCCAAAGCTGAACTCTCTGGAGGTTCACGGCTCTCATCCAGAAATATTTCATTAAAAATAAAACACAACAAAGGTTCCAACAACACCCCAATTTACATAGTGCATCCTCAAATGCAAGGCCATAGGCATCCTCTCATGTTTCACGGCTCTTTACCAGAAATTGGAAAGAAAAAGTTTTAAAAAAAAAAAAAAACTTAACAAAGGGTCCAACAATACTCCAAACTCCATAATACATACTTCCAGGCAGACCGTCTAGCCTGCTTGAGTGACTAACACATTAACCTGTAGAAAATGAACACATGTTAGCAACAGAACTACACAATTTAACCAGTGTAACAGATCATGGAACAAAAGAATTGAGCAAAAACAAATGTGAAAAACAACCGTCTGAAATTAGAATGGCATCATTAACAAAAATCAGGTTTCTTCTTTAAATAAAGTATTAAACACAATACAAATAATGTTAAAATAGAAGCCCCCGCTTAAAAGACAACCAATTAAATTGAATACATGATTTTGGTTAGGCACTGCGCTACCATTTTATCCTAAAGAGAAATGAATTACAGCATATTGTCTTTGATGAGGGAGATAAATTTGTTTCCAATGAAGAGTCTACACTTCATCACACAAATTTATCTCTACCTCTAGAGATCAAAACTCTTGTCAGGAAGCAGGATCCAAAATGTCAACTATAAGTGTAAATAGGGGGGGGGGGGGGGGGGGGAATCCGGTTACTCACCATAGCTACTCATCAAACTTGTAAAAACAACCCTTGTAACTACTGTTGTCACCGGCAATAAAATGCTTGATCAATGTGTGGCGGAATTTGCTTTATTTCAGTGCCAAGTTCTTGTTCAATCCTATATCTGAACAAAAGATAGAACATATCAGCATCCTATAGCCAGAATCTATAAAACTTATTCAACAGCAACTACATCACATACAAATTAAAGCGGTCCTCGTAAGTGATCAAGTTCACCGCTAAACCAAGGTGGCCAAATCTCCCTGAACGACCAACCTATCAAAAGCAGAGCATCCATCAGTACGTGTAATTGATACCAAAAAAAAAAAAAGCAAATTGAATTTAAAGTGAGCAGAAATCAAACATACCCTGTGCAAATAAGTTTCAGAGTTCTTGGGAAAATCAAAGTTAATAACAACATTAACTGCTTGGATGTCTATTCCCCTAGTAAAAAGGTCTGTAAATGTTTCACACAGAAAAATGAGTTTAAATTATTAGGACTGTATGTGTACAATTTCACCATCAGCTTACACACATAATAAACTAAAGATTCCTTTAACATACGCAATGTCACTTAATGTACATAGTAAACTTAAACAATAAAAGTACAACTATTGACTATCGAACTCATTTACAAAACAAAAGGAATGACATAACAAGTCAAAATAAAGGAAACAAGGACCCCAAATAACTTGGTACTGAAAACAACTTTATATTGTAAATTAAATATCATTCCAAGCAACTTACAAGAAGAAAAACTGACAATTTACAAGAGGTTGCTAAAGTGTCAGCAACATACCAGTACAGACAAGATTTCGGCATGCACCATTACGGAAATCATGAAATACTCTATTACGATGGTCTTGCAGCATCTTTGCGTGAATATAGAAACATGAATACCCCAGTTCGGTGATTTTCTTGGCAAGGAGTTCAACCCGATTCACGGAGTTGCAGAAGATAATTGACTGGTTTATTTGTAGCTGGAAAAGAAACTACTACTATTAGCATCAAAATATTCACAGAAGGCATATAAGAAAATCAAGAGGACAAAGAAAAACCAAACCTTAGAAAAGAGAGTATTTAAGCAATGGACTTTCTGTCTCTCTTCCACAAATGCATAAAACTGTGTAATACCCTTCAGAGTGAGCTCATCCATAAGGTTAATGACATATGGTTTGTTAAGAAACCTATCTTTGAAGTCCTTCACAGTAACAGGATATGTTGCTGAAAACATCAGGATTTGACGGGTTGTTGGAAGAAAATGAATCAGTTGCTGAATCGAAGGCTGGAACTCTGGGGAGAGAAGCTTATCAGCCTGAGAAACACAGAAAGCTATGAAAAACTGCAGAGTGATAACTGTAACTACTTAACAATGCCATGATGAAAAAGCTATGGATATTTAAACAAAAAGAAGATATCAGTAAACAGAGGCATTTGCTTCAACCATCAGCTGACAACATTTAGAATGTGGATATCTAATCCTAGCAAATCATACATAAAATGCAAAGAAACATAGTTCTACATCAAGCCATACTTGTCTGATTGAATCCAATTATGTTTCCGACCTTCATTATTCTAAATCTCTTTAAATATGTTAAATGTTGTCCACAGTTGATGTTTCCCAACAAAATTCTATAAATGAATTAAGTCAGGTGTAATATATTTACCTCATCCATTACCAGCATTGAGCAATGCTTAAGAACGCAAACACCCTTCTTAGTAAGATCCAATATCCTCCCTGGGGTACCGACAAGCAGGTGAACTGGTTGATATAAACGCATTATGTCATCTTTTAGACTGGTACCTCCTGTTGTAACCATAACTTGGATTTTCAAATGCTTTCCAAGCTCTTTACACACTTGAGATGTTTGCAAAGCCAACTCACGTGTTGGGACCAAGATAACAACTGTGATAATACAAACAGTATAGTCAAAACATGGGCAAGGCATATCATTATGCTTTCTTTAAAACACAAACCCTAAAGATATACAGATAAAAAGAAAAACCACCTACAAAATATCATTACTTTCAATTATAGTTGGCAAGAATCTATCTGCATCACCTTCAATTTCTAAAACATCTTAAAAGAAACAACTCATCAACAAGATATCAGTTTGTTTGAAGAAATTTTCAAATTTTGGTTATGTAAACAAACTGAGCTCCTAAATCCTAACCCCAAAATACATAATAATAAATGAAAAAGATATTATGAACTTATCATACTACTGTTGCTTTTTTACAACAGCCAAGTCAAAGATTAAAACTAACAAATATGCACTTTAATCATTTTCAGGAGAAGGGCAAAAGTCAAAGTGAAGACATCTTTAAACCAAATTGATGCTCGTTGAAGACCATACAATTGCAGAACCTTAGCTGTCACAAGTTACATTTTTCTTCTCTTTTTTAAGTAGCAGGATACTGCTCAGAATCAGTCAGGAAACCAGGATGCCTTATAAAACTAACACACCATTATACACAGTCCGTTCAACTAGATTTCTTGGAATCAAGTAAAGCACTGAAGGGAAAAGAATGTCGAACCTTGAATAACATTATTATCCTGATCAATTTTTTCCAATGCAGGAATGCAAAATGCAGCTGTTTTGCCAGTTCCATTTTTAGCCCTGGCAAGAATGTCACTGCCGGTAAGAGCAATTGGAATGCTTTCTTCTTGGATGGGGGAAGGTCTTTCAAAACCCTTCTCATATATTCCCATGAGCAGCTCCCGTTTCAAAAAGTAATCCTCAAATTCGTTTCCTTTAGTTGCTGTAACATCCTGGGAACAATAAACAGAGCAACAAGATAAATGTTACAAACTAGAATTAAAAGTTAATGATGACCGACCCAATAATCAAAGCAGCTTTAATGACTAATCCATGAAAGATATCATTTATTAGGCCTTTTAAGCAGACAAAAGGTAACGCGGATCACTTTTCACAGCCTTCATATAAACTAATCCATGATTCCATGAATAAAACCATGTAACAAAAAAATAATTTGATAAGTTGTAAGATGAGAGAATTATAAATAAATCAATAGCTGTTGGGGAATAGGATGAATAAAAAAGACATGTTGCCTATGGATAAGGACGATGAGAAGGAGAGGTGTCTTGTCAACTAAGAGAGCAAGAGCCTTCAGGGATTGGGGATGCAGACCATTGAATTAATGCAATGTGTTCTATAGACTGTAATAAGGGGAACTCTACCCTAATTCTTCCGATAAAGACAATAGTTTCAATCAACTAGAATCAGAGTAATCTCTGATCAGAAAGAGATAATTCAAGGTTGATAGAACAAAAATGGAGTTGAAAAGAAATCAGTGGAGCCCATCTTGCAAGATATAGTGGTGAGGAATTTAAACACTGAAACTATTTGCTGAGAAAGTTTGAAGCGTTGTAGAAGGATGGGTTGGGGCACCGCAACAACCCCGCCCAGTGGAAACAATAACAACTTAACAGCTGAGGAGCTGGGTAGTTAACAGCTGAGGAGCCTGAAACTTCAGCAAGTAAGTTCACCTCGCTGCCACCACCAGACACGAAGATTGCCAAGGAGGAAGATGGGTCATCAGCTGAGAGAGTAACTTGGACTCTTGGCATGTTGGCTGAGCTTCCACTGTTGGTACCACAAGTGCCAGGCCAGTCGTTTCTATTGAGGGTAAATTGGAGTTGTGGCATACTGATTGCCCTTTCGCTACACTAGCAGAACCACAAGAGCCAAGCCAGTATTTTGTATCGAGGGCAAAGGATGGCCCTAGCAGATGAGTCAGCATATAGGAGTTATATTTGGATTGAATGCTTGACAGACTTGACGGGCCCAGCCCAAAATCCAGGAACAGCCATTTAGAAAGTAATAGTGGCCCAAGACCTAATCTGTATAGAGGATTGATATAATGTACAGAAAAATGAACTCCTGGGTTTTGTGCCCCAAACCCAACAAGCTGAGAAGATGGAGTACAAAGGGAATGAGAAATTTTAAAAAGTTCAGGAAATGAGTAATTTTAAAAAGTTCAGGGAATGAGTAATTTTAAAAAGTTCAGGGAATGAGTAATTTTAAAAAGTTCACAACGCTGTTCGTAGCAAGGTAGTAAAAATCACAATTTATCCAGAAATCTACGAGTCTACAATTCGAGTTCAATCCTACACAATTTATTTTTGAGAATCCGGTGCAGAATCATTTCTGAGAATCAGGTGACAGTGGAAAAATCACAAATCCGGTGGAATCAGTAGTTTTTATGGTTTTGAGCCCATCCCCGTTTTCAAATAGCATTTTCTCTGGATAAAAATGTGACCAGGATGAGACGTGTGCAGACCCAGTTTCAATGAGTACAACCCAACCCTCTTAGAATCCTCTTTCTGCTGAGTAACCCTATCTTCCTCTCCTGTGGCCAAGCAAAAATCACAAATACTAACCGCTCATTATCTCTCATGACCAATTATGCAACCTAACGTGTGTTCTGTGAACATAACTACAGAAGAACTGCTATCAGTTTCGCAAAACCAAGTGTGACCCAGTCTTTTCTTCCCCTCTCAGTAAACTTCTGCCCTGAAATCCATAGTTGACTATCCCAAACAGAGGCATGGAGTTGCCAACCACAACTGGGATAGCGTTGAGCAGTTAATATCACATTGCGGCGCAGAGCAGCCGACTATAAAACAGGAATAGCGGTATAGCAGAATGCACATAAATCCGCAATTTAATATATTTTTATGTTTATTAAGTAATACTATAAATATCTATTAAATAAGTTATATTAAAAACTTGTTTCAAGTAATTTATACTATATATGTAAAATTATTTGTCATTAGACATGAGGAAACAGGTGGGCCTATTTTGGTTTATATAGACCCATTATGTGGAACAAATCCTAAAACTGAGATGGTCACTCTCAACCCCTAAACCTGAAACTTCATCTTCTCCAAAAAGGGAAGCAGCCTATTGTCTCACCACCTCCCTACTGTGTCTGCTGCACCCCTGCACCTTTCTACCTCGCCTTTCATTTCTTATATCTTCTTTCCTGTTTCTTCATTTCTTCTGGGCATGCAGTGAGAGTGGCAGCTGGGAAACAGTAGATAGTGGCCGGAAAAATTCAACTGTGGCAAAAAAAAGTGTCTTCTGTGTATTCTTCTACTAATGTAACTTTCCACTTCTTCCTCCTTCCTGCTTCTCACTTTTGACTTTTCTGATAGTCATAGCTACTATAGCACCATTAAATGTGCAAAAACACCACACAAACCCTTCCCGTGTGGGGGCAGCTACACCCGCCTCTCTCTGCTCTGCCACAACACTGAAATGCCACTTTTGACAACTACAACATGCCGCTTTTGCACCTGCTCAGGCTCTTTCAAGGCTGCCAAAATTGTACGAGTTGGATTGGGGTGATTTTAACTACATGTACCAGCCCACACCCACAGTACGATAAAAGAACGTTATAAGAAAAAGTTCCCTAAGTTTCTTTTGTTGATAATGTTCATACCTTATTTGCTTACCCTGTCTTCACTATCTCCTAATATTCGAACATTTTTTCCCAATTGAAATTGTAGTAAATGAGGAAAGAGGATAAGTGTTTTGTAGATAATCAATCTCTAACCAAGTGATCCATTTTGAACCTCGGTCATTATAAACTAAACTACTGGGTTTAACCCATAAAGAAATTAAGTAATTCAGTACAAATGCTAACCTTCTATTTAATAATTTCAAGGTATTTTACCTCTTAAATCTGCGCTAATAATATACATCAATAATAATACAAGTTAACTTACCCGCGCCTGGGGATGGCAAAATGAACCCGACCAGCCAAGCATGCCTTTTTTGCCTGCAAATTTTTGCGGGCCGAGCCAAGATTTTAGGCCTGCACCCTGAACTATGTCTGCCCCGCCCTGTTTTTTGCAGACTTTGCTAAGCACGGGTGTGACTTTTTGCGATTTTTAGGCTTTATGGGTGCAGTGACTGTCTAGCCCGCCTCGCACCCGTTTTTTGACAGGGCAGGCCAAGGTCTGCCCCCATTTTTTCACAGGTGCGTTGGGACGGGTATAAACGAGCGCAGCATGCCCGTTTGCCACTCCTAGCCGCACCCTATGATTTTGGAAACTGCCACACCACCCCGTGCTTGAATCTATGCCTGGAACATATTTATATATGTGAAACATAGCCTATAAATGAGGAGGAGGATGAAAAGGAGAGGCATGTTGTAATTTGTAGAGTTAGGGCCTTCAAGTATTGGCATGTGTAGACCCTAAGCTCTACAGTGTAATAAGGGAAATTCTTCCCTGAATAGTCAAATTAACATACAAGTACCTATCGTAATCACACCACACATGGAAATCCAAAACACAATTTCTGGTAAATGTCATAGAAATCTCCTGAATCTCAATCTCTGGACAGAGTATAAATAGTTAAAGTAGTTTGTTAGAGAAATAAGTGTGATTGTACTCTAAATAACTTACAACAGATTGTAAATGCCTAATCGAGTACAGGGCTCTCAAAAGGCATACACCAATCAACAAAATGTTGGTTAAATAACAACATGATACTGATGAGTATATAGAGAAAAATAAAATAATACACTATCAGAAATATTATAATTAAGTTATAGTTCCACAAGGATCTAAATCAAGATTAAATTATATAAAATAAAAGCATATAACCAGAAACTTGATGTATTAGATAGCATAAAAGTATTCATAAATATTAACATACCTCTGTCCTATAGCGTGTATCCGCTGGTGGAATCTTTAGTCCGGCCTTCCAGTCTTGAGAACTAACATAGGAAAACCAAAAACATTAAGGATAACAGGAGATCAACTTATTTCCTTTTGAAAGAATATAACCACTAAAATAAAGCTTCGTCCAAGAGTAGCCTTAATAAACTTCATTGAGCCAATCTCCAAACTATAACGAACTCATAATAACATCACTCCATAAAATAAAACATTAGAATTGGAATAAGGAAGCAATAGCCAAGATTGAGCATGATATCAACTCATATTTGAAGTGAAGTATAAGCATACAAAATATTGCAAGGGTATAACAGGTTCAGCAAAAATAAAGCAATTGATACATCAAATCAGAGCACCAAAACAATGGTATTCCATAAAAAAACAAGTAACCAAAGGATGCTGATTTACTACTCAACTTAGCATTTCTAAGATCACATAAGAAACTGTCAACATGAAACAAGTCTCAGTCACTTATTTAAAAAGGCAAAAGGTCCTGAGTTAAAAAATAAAAAAAAATAACAGAAAAACCCTAGGGTCACTTGATTTAAAAGGCAAAAGGTTGTGTTTAAAAAAAACATAAAGATAACAGAAAAAATCCTAGAGTCATTATCAGTGATGTTATAGATGGATTGCAGCACTGTTTGGTAAGTGATACTGCAGGAACTGGTCTGTGGTACTGGACTTATTCACAATCTGTAATATAGCTATTGCATAAACTTCAAACTATAGAGATGTTGTAGAAAAATATGAAAACCATAAGCCCAACTAAAATTTCTAGACATGGACCACTGCACATTATATCAAAGAGCTTCCATGGCGGATATATGCTAATTACAATGGTCAATTTGTGGAGGATGGTGGTATCATGGTTCTTAATGGCTATATAGCAGTTAAAAATAGCATGATTATGGTATGCTAATTACAATGGTCAATTTGTGGAGGATGGCGGTATCATGGTTCTTAATGGCTGAATAGCAGTTAAAAATAGCATGATTATGGCTTTCCTCTGTGGTTCACTGTCTGCAAGCGATAACACTGCATTTCATAACTATCTCTCTCAACTGATGTTGTATTGGATGTTTTAAATCACTATAGTCCATTATTTGTTCCATTGAGTGTTTACAAGATACAAAAGTACCGCTCAAACTGAAGGGGGTTATTTATTGAACAGCTGTAAGACCGACAATGTTGTATGGGACAGAGTGTTGGACTGTAAACAACCAACACAAATAAAGTAAGTGCAACGGATATAAGGATGTTGCATTAGATGTGTACTCAGATTAGATGAGATATGATTAGAAATGACAACATTAGAGAGAGAGTTGAGGTAACAACTATAGAAGAAAAGATGGTGAAAACTAAGCTTAAATAGTTTAAGCATGTATAGAGAAGACTTGCGGATTCTGTAGTAAGGAGACTATATTAGATGGAGGGTAATCGAACCGCTAGAGATAGGGAGAGGCCTAGAAAAAATATAAGTACAACATTATGACATCTTTTAATCCATTGAACTGACCCAACATAGTGAGATAAAGCTTGATTGTTGTTGTTAAAGAGTTGAGAAACATAAATAAGTAAAAATTTAAAAAGTAAAATTGTGAACTGTCGCAAATAAAAAACGGAAAATATCATTTATTACCAAAACCAAGAAGATTGATGTGATTTATCCCCCAAAAAAACAGCATATAGAAGTCAGATATTATTAAGATACATTCATCAAATGCACTAGTAAAAGTGTTAACATGCATAAACCAGTCAAAAGTATATTCATGAATTTTTGCAAACAAAGAAATGAAACCTATTGATTACCAAAATCCAAGAAAATTGATCAAAATAACCCCCAATAATAGAAGTAAATCAAAACTTAAGATTCATTTATCAATTGCATTAGTATATGTGTTAACAAGCATAAATAGGTTGAAACCAAAATCTACAGTCTTGAATTTTGCAAACAGAAAAGGACAACATTGATTACCAGATGCAAGATTGATGTAATCTACCCCAATAAGAATCAACAATTATAAGTCATGATTAAAATGCATTTATCAATTGCATTAGTTTAAGTGTTAACAAGCGTAAATAAGTCAAATCTCTAAAATTACACTTGTGATTTATCACACACAAAATCAGACAACAGCATTGATTACCAAAACCAAGAACTCTTCAATTGCATTAGTTAAAGTGTTAACAAGCATAAATAAGTCAAATATCTAAAACTACACTTATGATCTATCACACACAAAAACAGACAACAAAATTGATTACCAAAACCACGAAGATTGATGCAAACTACCCCCATACAACAACAGTGATGCTGTTTCCTTTTCGGATGAATTGTCTATTTGAATGTTAGCACAGTAAAAAAAATCCAAATAGCTGCCCAAAAGACAACAAATCACGTAAAATGCGGAAAAAAAAGTTCTGTGCATTTTTTTCCAGAAAAAAGAAAAGCAAAGGCAGCAGCACATGTAGATCGAAGGCCATCGCCAAAACTTCATAAGCAGGCTAAATGAGCAACGAGCTCTCTCCAATCCAGAGGCGAGTGATCCAAAGGAGATCAATTCAACCTAGATGCATCAACTGTAACAGCAGCAACTATTCAAGTCACAAAGGTTGTACCGTAACTGCCATTGTGCCATGAAAATTGGAATAGCCATGGTGAAAAAGCCCGAGGCTCCACTCCAACTCTGAGACAGCACGATGTCAACCAATACCAATGCCATTAGAACTCTTTTAAAAAAATAAAAGTTGTTTTTTCCTTTTTTTCCATTATCTAATACATTGATGCAAAACTTCAAACCTAATAATCAACAAGCCAGAAACCAAAGAGACTCAGCACTAACCTAATAATTATTGAGCCAACAAGCCAGAAACCAAAGACACTCAGCACTAACCTAATAATCATCGAGCCAACAAGCCATAAATCAAAGACACTCAGCACAACAAAAGATAACATGTTGAAAAACACACAAATCTATTGTTAAAATATTCTATGTGAAACACTTAACAACTCCATCACTCATGTAACTAAACATATTGACAGCATATCATCTAATCAGAACCAAAACCATACTCCTAACAATGAAACATATGACAGGCATAAACTATTATAATGAAAAACAAAAAGCATACAAACCTAGAATCAATGGCTTCAGACTGCACGGTCTTCTCGACCTCGTCAGCGGCGTTGGATTCCGAACCACCCAACTGCGCCCTCCTCAGCCACTGTTGTTGCTGCTGGTGGTGTTGCTGCTGCTGCTGTGGCGGCTGATGTTGCTGCACCATTTGTCTCTGCGCATAGTACTGCTGGTGCTGGTGCTGTTGCTGCTGGTGCTGTTGTTGGTTATGGTGGTGGTATGGTGGTCTTTGCTGAAACTGATTGTTCAGGTTCGGATTCTGGTTCAGATTCACGTTGGGATTCGCCCCTCCGCGTCCGGGACCGATCCCGGGAGGTGGAAATCTCGCTCTATTGTTGTTGTTCATCGCGCCGATTGAAAAACCCTAAAACTCAACCCTAGAAAAAACGGCGAAAGGAAAATCTCCAATGTACAAAACGCTACGAATCTAAACCTAGAGCGAAAAACTGAGTTAGGGTTTCGTTATATATATCGTACAAGAGAGAGAGAGAGAGTGTGTGTGAGAGAGAGTGTGTGTGAGAGAGAGATTAAAAGTTTTGAATTTCTTTCCTTCTGTGAAAGGAAAAAAAAAATAGAGGGAAATGTGAATTTCTTTCCTTATAGATCTAAGTAGAGGATATAGACGGAAATTGAGAGGAAATTTTAGACGGAGAGAAAAATGATGAGACGGAGAAGAATATCGAAGTAGGGTTTGGTTTCTATTGGGATTTTTTTCTCCTCGGGAGTTTTTGGGTTGGGATGGGGTGGAGTTGAGGAAGAAGAAACCGAAAGAATGGAGAAAGGAAGGTGTGAAGGTTATTTTGTTCTTGTGAAGGCTCTAGGGCGTAGAGAGGGATTTTTCATTATTGGCTTTTGACCCCGTTTTTAGTTTTTGTTTTGTGGAGTTGCCCTTTTTTGTTCTCTCTCAATGTTTCATGGTTTTGGCCATGGAGTGATATAATCAAATTATGAATTAAATATAATAATAATTTTAAATCATTGCAACATGTGTAGTCACTCTCACTCCTACTAGAGTGGAAAGCATTGTGTGGACTTCTTCATTGAAAATATTATAGGAAACTTGTGAAATAAAAAGATAATATACATAGTTTAAAATAGCAAGCCTATAATAAGATTGAATTTTCATAGGTTTTTTTATCTCTGTTAATAATGGATGGTTGAAGAGTTGTGAAATTTTTGGGGTCAGTTTGCAAGTTAGTTTTTTAAAAGGTTTTGAACATAAAATGTTAGAGAGTTGTGTTTATATTTTTAAATGTGTTTAATATCTTTAAAAAGATTAGAAGTAATATGATTTTATAGGTTAATATAGTATATTATTTTGTAAAATTTTTAAAAAATATCAAACATATTTTAAGATATAGATGCAACTTTCTAAAGTTTTTTCTTTCAAAATCCTCTAAAAACTAACTCTCAAACAGATTCTTAAAAAAATATATATATCTATGTTGTAGATCATTAGATTAGAATGTGTGCGAATGAAAATTTTATAGGATCTTTAGTAGGGAACGTGTGCACTTTTTATCTCTCCAATTGTAGAATTTCCAAGTAGGTAATCACATGGTCCTTTATGGGTGTGTTTGAAATGATGGAAGTGGATGAAATATAGTATATGAGATGGATAATGTTGTACCCCAAAATTTTCCCTCTCATTTCTCAAGGAATCTCCCTGGATTCTCAAGTTTTCTCTCATACAATTTTAAGCCTTGAATTATCATTTCTTTCCAAGCAAACCATTCACAAGGGGCAAAATGGTCATTTGCGCGCTGAGGAGTCTAACTCTGACTTTTGGACCAAAACAAAGTTTCAAGAATCATATTTCATCAAGACATGTTGGAATATGAAGTTCGTATCATCAAAAAATTCAAAAGTCAAATTTACTATGGAAAAGCCAAATTTCTAAATACTTGGGATTTTTCTAAGTATTTAAGAAAAAAATGACACTTCATAACTTCTGAGTCAGCCTTCAGGCAGGAGCAGTCAGAAGTTGTAAACATGGTTCAGCACATAGTTTTCAGTTAGAACATGGCTCTCCAGCACCTACGTAAGTTCAATCAGAGTTTGATAGGGTAATACAAAGAAGGTAATAGAGCGTAATACGAAGCCTGAAAGCTCCTTCAGAATATGCTGGAGCCAGAAGGTAAAAAGATCAGAAGATTGGGTGCTACGCAGAAGCAGAACTTTTAATCCAGAGTTTGCAAAGGTAAGTCAAAGAAGGTTACAAAGCATACTGCAAGCTTACTGGAAAATTTGGGGAATCCTTCAGAGTATGCTGAGGCAACAGGATACTAAGATCAGAAGTAGGGTGTTTTGTTCTAGACTATGCTGAAATGGAACTTCTGATCCAGAATTAAGCAATGATGCAAAATCTCACATTACAGGATTTTTGATTTTGATAAATCTCATCATCATTTAATGTTCATTAATGCTCACAACCACTTTTGAGTCTTTGTCCAAAGGATCTCTCTATGTGTAGTGTAGAAATACTTTTGTACAGAATTAGGTAAGGGTCCATGCGCTACCTTTTGCTTGTGGGTTCACTTTTCCTTAATCCCTGCTTGCTAATCCAGCCTAAGCTAAAAAAAAACTGTCAACTATCACATCTTTTTTGGAACTTGCTTCAAGAGCAAGTCAGCATCTAGCGTATGATGTTGGCGCTACTTGACATTTCAAACACACAAAATTTTGCCTATAAATAGAACATCATTGGTTACTGAAAAGAGGCCAGAAAAATTTGTGAAAGAGGTCAAAATTTTGAGAAAGAAAAGCCTTGAATCCCTGCCAAAATTCCAAGAGTTCCAAGAACTGTAAACACAACACATAAGACCTCGTTAACTTTTGATTCCTCGCATTCAAAACTCCACTTGTTCCCAATTACTTATTGACTAAAAAAACCATTCACCCAGTTTCTGATCCACACGTTGGAAACTGCATAAACTTTTGTGCTCATATTGCTATACACTTTCCATCCATCCATTCAAAGAAATCAAAACATCACCTTCTTGCCATCCCTAGAAGTTGAAAACTTCCAACTTACTGAGTACGTGAAGAAGTTGTTCAGAGCTTCATCAGAGTTGAGGTTAACTCCGGTTCACAGAACTTCTTCCAGCTGCAAGGTAAGTTTCTGCTGACCCTCACCACATTACTTAAGCATTACCAGATTTACATGCTCAGATACAATGTAAATATTAGGTTTTTGGTATCATACATATTCTGAGATTTCATGCCTTCTGTCTGCCTAAATAGGGAATAAATTAGTTCAGAACCTCTTGAAGGAATTAAAACTCAGAATTAAGATTAGCAAATTCATACGTGCCTCTGATTTATAGTTCTGATATTTCTTATTTCTGAAACGCTATGACACCTGCTATAACTGTTCTATGCATGTCTTCTGTTTTGTGGAGAAATAACCAAATTACAGATGTTCTGACTAGCATAGAGAGAGATACCAAGTTCTGCCAGTGGTATCAGAACTTCTGAAGCTTATTTTATTGCTAGTGATCTCAGAATTTCTGAAGCTTGTTTTGTTGTCAGTGGTGTCAGAACTTCTGAAAACTATTGTGTTCCCAGTGGGTTTAGAACTTTTGACCTTATACATTTTCACTAACAGGTTTCTGTTTTGCAGCGTGCCAGGGTCAGAACCTCTGACTCCATTTTTATCAGCAACGCGCTAATTCTTTTTTCCTTTTTTTCATTATTTTTGATATCACTCTTCATTCCATTAATCAGCAAACATCAAAAGTATTTCCTTCACACTTCACTTTATTTCTTAAAACAAGAGACCAAAAATAGTTTCTTAAAATAAGACAAGTTCGTTTCACATTTTCTTGTATATTCTTATGCATTTCAATATGGTTGTAATAGTAATTTAGGACTTATTTTTACTTGCAACCCCATTCATAAATATGTATCCTCATCCCCTAAATATTGTAATAGCGTAGAATTTCATTTCTCGCAATTTATTGTTTTTCTTATGTTGTACAGTAATTAGACGTGTATGGCAAGATAAAACCAACAAGTAGACCACCAAAAATCAAAGACAAATGCATGCAATCAAACACACTTGCACACATGCACCCCTAGGGTAATCTCACTTGTTGCCTTACAAAAATAGTCATGTTATGCATGTGGGATGTCTTAGCACAAACGAATCGAAAAATACAAGATCATAGTCCCTCGATGACGCTATCAAAGTTGCCTTTCAAAATGATCTTAGTCCCTAAAAGAAAAGTGCTAAGTCATCTCACAACATTGCTATCATGGTCATACGATGACCCAACGCTCGTCCCTTCACATCCAACGATGGGGCTTCCTATCAAATCAATGGTAAGCTAGCAACATCTAAAGGAGGAGGAAAAGCATATCTAAGACCTTTCGAGTAGGTAGGTTCGCTCTCAGTTACTCGCTTGCTCACAACAAAACATTTTTTACACTTACACTTTCATCTTTGAACTATTTTCGAAACAAACACTTTGTATGCGTTCTTATAGAAACGAGAATCATTACGAAGTTACATTTTCAAAATACTTTCAAAAACACATTTCACAAACACTCCTTTGAATTATTTTCCAAACAAACACTTTGTACGCGTTCTTATAGAGACGAGAATCGTTACAAAGACGTTTTCAAAACACTTTCAAAAACACACACCACAAGCACATTCAAACAAAAGCAAGTGATCTAGCAAGTAACTAAGAGCCCATGGAAAACCATGGATGGAAAGGGTGTTAATACCTTCCCTTTTCATAATCTACCCCCCGAACTCAAGAAACAATCTCAAAGGTCTTTCCTGTGCTTTTTCACCTTTCCTTTTGGATAAAAGAAAAGTCGGTGGCGACTCTTGCTAAACCGCAAAATTTGTGATAAAACGCAAAACCTCAAGTCAGTTCTCCCACCGTATCACAGATAAGTTAAAATTAGATTTAGTGGAACGGAATGAGGTGGTATGAATTTTATTTTATTTTATCACTTACCATTTGTTGTATCCCAAAATTTGTCCTCTCCATTCTTGTTGTACATGGCTTGTGTTTCCTCATGTGCGCTCACTTAATGACAATCAGTCCGAGATAGATCTCATATCCAACTGATTTAGGCTACTAAGACCTCTAAGGCTTCGTGACATCTCAAGTTGAATCCTTGCATCGTCAATAGAATTTTAAGTTTGCATTGGTTTAGAAGGGGCAGATGTTTGGAGTTCAAGATTACTGAAGATTTTCTGATTCATGAAGCTACAAGGCTTTCATACTCAAACTCCTTCCAAAAACAATCAGGGTTTTATTTGCAAAGCTAAAGCATGACTGTTTAAAAATGGGTAAATGCAAAGCGCGATACAAGCGATGAAAATTGTTG